TAGCTCTGGTCCTCCATACCCCTAATTAGTTTGGTTGCCCTCCGCTGGACTTTTTCCAACTCAAGGACATCTTTTCTTAGTACTGGTGACCAGAACTGGACCGCGTACTCCAGATGAGGTCGAACCAATGATCTATAGAGGGGCAAAATTATAGACTTGTCCCTGCAATACATCCCCTTCTTAATACAGGACAAAACCACTAGCTTTGTTTGCAGCAGCCTCGCACTGCAAGCTACCCTTCAGTTTGTGGTCTTCAGGTTCCAGGCCTCTACCCTTCAGGTTCCAGGCCTCTCTCCAAACAAGGAATGGTTCTAAATGGAAACTGGCATAAGCTGAAACCCAGTAAATAATGCAAGTCAGTGGAAAGAGGGGACGTTAGGTTCCAAGCCTCTCTCATTGACATAAAGGACATAATGCAGGTAAATTTTATGTAAAGCTCCTTGTGTGAGCTCATGCAGCAGCTATAAATGTTATGTAACTGTATTGTATTATCAATTTTGAGAAAGGTCCGGAACATAACTCCCTGGCTTCCCATTAACTTGCATTACATAATGGGTTTCAATTTACACCGGTATCCATTTACAACCATTCCCTCAGGAACCTAAACCCAGCGTAAATGTCGGTACTGGTACATTGCCATCTTACACAATGACAAAGTTATTGCTCAATAAACAGACTCAGTGGAAATGTAAAACTTGATCAAGTCCATAGGGGTATAAAAAAATTGTAGTGGGTAAGTTATTGACCATCGATGACCCATCATGTAAATCCAGATACCATCTTAGATTGTAAGCTCCTGGAGGGCAGGGATTGATGTGAATGTGCACTGTGTAAAGTGCTGCGTAAATTGTCAGCGCTATATAAATACCTAAAATACCTGTGTAGTAGTGTTTCATTCCCACGTATAAAATTATATTATTGCCCTATATTGTAACATAATCCGGAACTTAAGTATTCTCACCAGCAATAAAAATTACAATATTTCCGATTGTTGGAGAAAACCTCTCTAAACATTTTTATTAACTTATAACTGCATTTCACAAAAAATACAGATTTTTTTTTTGTTAAAAGAAAAACAAACACCTGCACGAAACAAAATTGATAAAAAAATAATTATAAAGCCATCACAGTGTATTTAGGTCAAGAACATTTTCAAGACAAAACTAAGCAAGATAAAAACAAGAAATACAATATAAAATTTGCTTGCACGGTGGCCTGTAATGCTTTTCAGAGCCACAGGCCATGTATACAAGACACTCCAACGGGGAAGCAGTTAACACTCAACTACAAGGCCACACTGACCTAAGGGGTTAAAAATCAACTGAAATCTTGTAACCATTCGTTTTGCTCGTATGGTGCATGAGGCTTGCAGTATAGAGAGAACAAACTGCAATATTTTTTTTTAAACCATTTACATTAAAGAAAACAATAAAAAAAGTACGCATTTACGACACACGGTGACTGATCAACGAAAACTAGAATAGAAGAAAGAATAAAATGTAGTCCACGGTGACCAATCAAGTGTTTATTTACTTTCTCTAGGCTTTCCCAGGTGTATGAAAGAGCATTTCATTAGCTGTGTGCGCGCCTTTCTTTGCTCTGGTTTCCCATCTGTACACAATTCATTTCTAGGAATATGCACATTATAAATCATCATCTCAGCTAGGCTCCGCCAAGTACAACACTGAATAAACAACAACTGTGACGTTGTAATTTGGATTTTTAAAAAAGTGTGTAGACCTGCTCCAGGGCAGTCCGTGTCATCCTTGCTGCAATACTAAGGGCCCCTTTCCCAACTTTGTGTGCTTTATTGCTTGAGCGTTGTGTTAAGGCAGGCCATTGTCTGGGCCCTCAACGCATGAAATAACACACCTTTGCTATATTTGGTAACAACACAGTGTACCAAGGCGCAGAGCATTGACATGTGTGTGTTGTGGTGCTCTATAGTGCCGGTGCTTTTGTAGGTTACTGTAGAGGTGCGTTAGTGGGGCCATGCAGAATAAATGGCAGCGGACATGTACAGCCTCTGCCATGTGTTGCAATGATATAAATGACAAAAACACAAGATTTAGCAGCAAACCCAATCAAAATGCATAAATGCAGGAGGTGAGCAAGCTCTGACAGGAAGAAAGGGGAGTAGTCAATCTGTAAAGTGAATAATGGCCAGCCTGAAAAACCACACCACCAATCATCATCATCATCATTTCTGTGCCTACTCCTTAAACTGCCAGTAAACTCATCCTAAAAATCCATTCAAGTACCCATCTCTGAACTGGTGGTGGCACTGACTTCCTTCTGGAGGGTGGCTACTTTTCTTCCCTATGGTCCCAGTGTGTGTTGTAAAGTAAACACTGCTCCAAGCTCACTTCTGTGATGGACTACAATTTGTATTCAAGTTATAGTCCATCACAGGAGTGAGCTTGGAGCGGTGGCTACTTTACAACACACACAGGGACCATGGGGAACAAAAGGTATCTGCCCTCCAGAAGGAAGGTCAGTGTAAACACCAATTCAGAGATGATTTGAGGATCTACAGCCGAGTGATACACAAATAAGATACATTCTTATTCTTTAAAAGGAGAACTATGAGGTGAGTGCTTTTCACTCACCTCATAGTTCTAGCCGACCTGTGACAATGAGACTGTCACAGGTCGGCTCAGTAGATCGGGAGGTGAGCGAACACATACCAGGTTCGCTCACCTCTCGATCCTGTCACGGCTCTCTGCC